CGTCTCGCATTACAGTTAGGGCGTGGCGTCGGGTCACGGCTGCGTCGGCTTGTTCCGCTGCTTCCATGCTGCGTCGTCAGGCCACCTTCGGTAAATGAGCTTTCGCCGTCAGGGCTTTGCCTGGCTGGCGTTGTGTTCGGAAAGCTCCGTCGCGGCGTCGTCGTCGTCGGAGGATCTTCGGTAGTTCGTCGCACAGCAACCGCACCTCCACCGGTTGCTGTCCTTAGTTTCCCGGATACGGGCTAGGAGACCGGCCCCGCGTTGGGCCAGAGTACTGCCGGAGGTGCGGTGACGTGCGGCGGCTGGGCGACGGTGAACGCGAAGGGCTTCGTGGTGTCCACCGAGTTCCTGTCAGGTAGTCGGCGATGTCACGTGGTCGTTCTCCTGGCTGTGGACGCGGTGCATTGACGGCGAAGCCACGCAGTCCCATCTGTCGGTACTGGCAACGGCGGTATGTGTGTCCGGCCTCGCCGCAGTGGTAGCAGAGCGGGCGATGGTCAGGGGTGCGCCAGACGTCAGTCTTCCTCGGTGCACTGCGCTGGGCTGCTGGCGAACGGTATGACGTCGGTGGGGGTGGTGGCGGCGGTGGCATTTGTCGACGGAAGTGCGATGGGGCGGCGTTTTGGCGTGGACGGGGAGGAGCGTTGTGGCGCAGTGCAGCGGCGTAGCTCATAGCTTCCGGCTCGGGCAGCGGTGCGTGGGGAATTTGAAGCGATTGCCGAACTTCTTCTCGCACAATGTCGGCAATTGAATCCACTTGAGGCTGGGCCGAAGGCAACAGCTTGCGCAGCTCTTCCCGCACGATCGCTCGGATCGTTTCACGCAGGTCTCCGGAGTTACTGGCTTGAGCAGCAGCGCAGTCTGCAGTCAGGCGACGATTATACTGTCTGGTGCGCATGTCCAGGGTCTTTTCGATAGTGGTCGCTTCTGCTACAAATTCTTGGACGGTTACCGGTGGGTTTCTCATCAGTCCCGCGAAGAGCTCCTGTTTGACCCCTCGCATGAGGAAACGAACTTTTTTCTCCTCAGGCATGTCTGGATCAGCGTGACGGAATAGTCGGGTCATTTCTTCTGTGAAAATGGCAACATTTTCATTTGGTAGCTGAACCCGAGTCTCTAATAAAGCAGCGGCCCTCTCTTTGCGAGCGACGCTCGCGAACGTTTGAAGGAATGCGCCGCAGAAAACATCCCACGTTCGGAGCGTGGACTCCCGATTTTCAAGCCAAGTCCTTGCGGTGTCTTCCAAATAGAAGAACACACGACGCAGCTTTTCGTCATGGTCCCAGTGGTTGAGGGCGGCACACGGTCGTATGTCTCCAGCCAGGACTCCGGGTCTTCGAACGATGACCCATGGAAAATTGGTGGTTCCCTGGGTTGATGCATGACCATCGTGGGCTGGGACGCTGCGGTTGTCATTGTCGCTGCAGTCGAGGTCATGGCTTCGTCTTCCGCGCCTTGTATGGTAGAAGCCCGTACTCCGGTGGTAGCCCTTGCTGTCGGCGGCTTGTTCGCTGCTCCTGGTTGGTGTCGGTGTCTTCTCCGCGACGTGGGCTGGGTTCACGGCTTGACGGGGGCGTCGGTACATGAACGAAGCAGCACTCCCACCAGATGTCACGGGGTCGTGACGTGGCCGAAGACAAAAGGGCAAGAGTGCAGGGTTCATGCTTGGTTATTAGCCAACGTTATCAGGTGCAGCAATGCCACTGCAAAAACAGTCTGAGCAATTGATTCTGATTGTAATGGAGTAATAAACGGTGACATTTTTCACCCGCGTGGTATCATGAAATAAAAATATCTATAATTTATTCGGTTACCGACATAAAGCGTTAGTTTTCTTATTGAGAAAAAATTCATTTTGGTCCTATTTATGCGACTCCTTAACCTATTGTCCTTAACTCCCTCTATGCTCCTCTTTGACACGAGATCGAGCAGAGTCCCCGCCTGGCGGCCACTGGCTGAAGCGCGCCTAAACTTGAAGAAGTCTAGACAAATTCAAAAGCTTACCATTGTATAGTCACTGCATCGTACCTAGCCAAGCAACTCAGCATTTTGCAGGATGCTTGGGTGTGCACTCAGTATAAGGTCTATTTTGTTCTTACTTTCGCCATTAGGGCTCCTCCATGTCTTCTTACTACCATAGTGCTACGATAGTGCTTCATAGTGCTACCATAGTGCTTCATAAAAAAAGTACCAGGATACCAATCAATAAGAGCGTAAAGAAGGGGGGATACAATCTCCCCAATGCTATTTACCGCGTGTTACAGGAGGTTTTCAGAGGCCTAGAATGGGAACAGTTAGGGATAAGAGTTAATGAAGACTACCTTAATAACCTGCGCTTCGCCGATGACATTGAATTGCTGAGTAAATCAGGAAATGAGTTGCAACTCATGATTACGGAGTTAGACAAGGAGAGCAAAAAAGTAGGTCGTAAAGTTAATCTGCAGAAAACGAAAGTAATGTACAACAACTTCGGAAGAGAACAGCGCTTCGAGACAGGTAATAGTGCACTTGAAGTTGTAAAAGAGTATGTCTACTTAGGACAGGTAATAACCAGCGGAGCCAAACCACGAGACTGAATTAACTAGAAGAATAAGAATGTGGTGGAGCATACTTGGCAAGCACTCTCAAATCACGACAGGCAGACTGTCACTATCCCTCAAGAGAAAGGTATATAACAGTTGCATCTTGCCGGTACTTACTTACAAAGAGGGTTGAGCTTAAATTGAGGACGACGTAGAAAGCAATGGAAAGGAAAATGGTAGGTGTAACCTCAGAGACAAAAAGAGAGCAGAGTGGATCAGGGAACAAACCGGAATGAAGGATATCATAGTTGAAATTAAGAAGAGGGAATGGACATGGGCCGGGCATGTAGCACGTAGACAGGATAACCGCTGATAATTATCGGTAACCAAATGAATGCCTAGTAGAAGGCAAGTGGGATGAGATTAAGGATTTTGTGGGTATAAATTGGCAGCACCAAGCACATGACTGAGTTGAATGGTGGAACATGGCAGAGGCCTTTGTCCTGCAGTGAACGTAGTCAGGCTGATGATGATGATAATGATCATGATGATTATGTCTGCTTATGGTTTCGTGGTTTGCGGTAGAAAGTAATCAACGTCCGTAAACTATTGCATTTTTGCGATTAGTAATTCCCCTCCGGCATTTCTAGTACTGATGCCATAATCCCCTATTGCGTGGTCTTCAGTCTGCTTTTTCTCTACCTTGGTAATAAAGTTGCCCATCAGTATAGTATACTGTGTTTTTACTTCAATCATTGCCGATTTCACGTCTTTATAGAAGCTTTCAACTATTGCGTCATCATAGCTGGATGTAGGCGCGTAAGCCTGTGAGACCTTCATCTTGTATCTCCTAATGAGTTTAAATACGATACCTACGACCCTTTTATTATTTATGTAGCATTCCTCTATGTTATCAGCTATATTTCTGTGAATAAAGGCCAACCCCTTGATCTCTTCTCAGCCAAGCCATGGGCACGTCCATAATAAAGGAAATGTGCATTCTGTAGAATTGTAGAGGCCTCATCGTTCCTCCTCACCTCACTGAGCCATATCATACTCCATTTTAAACCCTCAAGTTCCTCGAATACCACAACTAGACTTGCCTCACTAGATAAGGTTCTAGTGTTAAATGTTGCCAAGGTCAGCTACCAATGACGGCCTGTCAGGACGCAAAGAATCTTAGCACCCTCTGCTGCACCGCATATCTGACCACCGCCGTGATCAGTTGCTTCGCAGCCACTCTGGACGGCAGGCCGATGGCTAACTCGCATATTAATTTGAGGCGTAGTGACCAGATACTGCACCAGGGTGGTCAATCCTTTTCAGGTTAGATAGTGCGTTACTGGCAGTGGTCAGCGGTGAGGTCCCAACCCATGCCTCCTAATGCAATTATATCATCACGTGTATCATTTTGGATCCGCTAGGGAATCGCGTAGCACCGGGATTTGAACCAAGGATCTCTTGCACACAAGGCTCATGCACTAACCACTACGCCATCGCTGCATGGATGAAGCATAATTACGTCCAAAAGCGAATGAGGTTTTGTGCCTATTTGCATACCTATTTTGCATAAACAATTGAGCCCACCTGGGTCACAGATATCACCAGTGATGACTGTTATTCTTTGCTTCCATCCACCACCTATCTAGCCATTGTAAGCAGCCACTTCGTGCATTCGGCAATGAATCTGGTAGGAGTGACGGTGGCTAAGACCCTCATCATGTGTTATAGTGAAAGCTGTACTGAGATCTCTAGAGCCCATATGCCACCGCCAACGCTGGTACCCGTATGCGCCAGGCTTTCGCGAGATATAAAATAAAAATTAAACTGAAGCTCTTTGGGAACAGAAAGGATTTGAACCCGAAACCTCTGCGTGGCCACCGAGTATTCGGTAAAAAACTGGACTACACAGGCATACATTATGATTACCTATATATGTTTTAACTAGGCCCACACAAGCTTTTTTGTTCTTGCGAAATCCTTTACTAAAACACGCTATGTCGTTGACATGTAAGGAAAGGTACCACACTAGCATATTCATATGTAATGTAACATAGTGGAAGAGCCGAATAACAACAAGGCGTAACGAAATGCCAATTCCACAACGAGTGGGTCACTCAATTTTTTCAAATCATTACAAAAGACTACACCACAATTCTTCTCAATCATCAGACACTGCACAAAGTACGCGTTATATCTTACATTGGTGTAGCTGGTACTTCACTAATGCACAGAATAGTTAACAGTAGCATACGTGGTGCTTCCCTACTTCTTGAAAGTTACGGTGCTTTATGTGCTAGGGGGTACCTTGCACGTGTACTTATACAGAGCACCATTCCAGCCTTTGCTGTGACAGTGCTGCGTGTTCTGCGCAGGCCTGGAAACGTTTTTCATCACTCAGGTTAGCAAGGAACACTGGTGAATTTTGGGTTTTTTTGAGGCACCTAAGGCTTTCGTCTTCAGCAGCGCAAGATTTACCCATTGGCAAAGAACGCAGCTTTGGCTCCAGTTTGGCGAATGATGCAAGCACGCTCCGTACTAATGCCTTGTCCTCGCAATTGCTGATGGTGCTGTCCAGCAGGCCGTCTAACTCGGCGACGCTCCACAGGCTCCACGGAGTGTAGCGACGCAGCAGCGTTGGGTACCGCTCGGGCTCCTGCGACAGTTATACTCCTAAGGCTCCCGAAAATTGGTCTCCAGCAAAAACGAGTCACACGAAACGTCATTCTATAGCTGCCTTTAAAATTCGGATTAACACCATTTTTTCGCAGAGCTGCCACATATCTAAGCTTTATGGCGTTTTTCGTGATGATGTTGATGATAGAGGTTTTCCAAGTCAGAAATTTTAGCGTAGTAAAAATATAGGAACATGTACTTTAAATAGTATAATTGGGTTCAAGGTTACACAAATGTAGAAGTAGGCAAATATAAACTCGAGAAAACTCTTAGTGGGCTAGTTGGTAAAATACATTGTTTGAGACATTGTGCATATAAGCCCACTGTTAGACAAATCGACAAAGAACCTCATATGCCGCGCGTGATGATGGCTGCCTTTCGGTGACACAGCCACTTGTAAATATTGTAACTGCACTCGCTTCTGTCTCCCGTGCATCTGAGATTTCTGTGACAATATTATGTGAGCTTTAACTGCGCTTGGCACGAGACAACAAAGTATATGCAGACAGGAGGAAACCACACTGAATGCTGATATATTCAAATCACTCCATCTTGCTTCCTGAAACAACGCACAAGCGAGAAAAACAGTCACGACCACATAACAATAGCATACTCTCCATACAAGACTCCTGTCTAACCTAAATAAATCAAGCTCTTTCTTGAAAAGGTAGACAGATGTCGCACTTATATGTGGCACGCCTGGGTACACCCGAAGCTTTGAGGATTTCACGTGGCCTTCGGTTTCACCCATGAATAGATTTCACCCATGAATAATATTACTTACTTTATTGATCAAAATTATAATTATCTCTAAAAATAATGAAGATATAAAAATCATGCCATAACAAGCAAGATAGAACTTCGGGTGACTGTGGATACTTTTAAGGATAAAATATCGTCGAACAGAGAACCGTACGAATGTAAAGTAGGTGGGACATGGAATGTCACTACGAGCAGGTACTTATTGCGGTTCCGTACCAGTTCGGGGCTTTTGCATGATTACGTATGAGTCGGAAGCACGGTTTCGAAGCTTTCAGCTTGCTGCTAGCTCAATTCTGCAGGAGGACGTTCAGTGTCGACAAGGTTTTCATTTCCGACAAGGTTTTTTTTCACACCTTGTTGACCCGATGAACCGACTAGTCAAACGGCGTGCCTTGCTTTCAGTGTTTTCTTCTTCGCGCGTTGGGCTAGGTTACAGTATTTTCGTGGGCGTCCGGATGTGGCTTCCGAGATTGAGCGCCGGCAGATATGGACACATCAAGGAACCAGAGCCTCCATCAGATGTCACGTTTGGCAGTGACCGTAAGGAAGGCTCCAACAGAACTCAGAAATAAGAAGCTTTTTTATTTGCGTAAACCAGTGTCCAGAAAAAATGGAAGGTACATTACTCACCACGTCAAAGAAGACGCCGGCCGTCGGTTAATCTGATCTGCAGTGAAGATCGTCGGCATTTGTGGCACCGCACATTCAACCCTCATCGCTGGTGTTCCCACAAGCTCTCGAATAAAACTGACTATTCGCGTCTTGAGTGCAAGCTTGACAATTATCGCAAACTATCGCGATGCTTTCGAAAGCATTCGGGCATGGTCTTCGCCAAACGTTGCTGACAGTCCTTGCAGGTGTGAACCAGACACGCCAAAAAGTTTATGCACACGCGCGGCAGTATCTTGAGCTTCAGCGAAAATAAATGACGCAGGATGAAGAAAATTCAAGCGGTGGTGAGAAACTTGGTCATGGATACCTCCGAGGGACACAGAAATGTGTATTTATTGTGTTTTCTATATAGTCTTAGAGCTTTTCTTCTGCAGCACACTTCAATACATCCTGTATGAATAATTCCGTTAACCTGTTTTGTATGTTTCTTATTCAGTAAACCAAAGCAAGATGGCACGAGAAATTCAAAAACAATTCTTGTGAAAAATAAGGTTTTACAAAGCACGTGAAAAAATTGTTAGGTCAGGCAAGAAGCAAAAGTTAGGGGTTTAAGTTTCTTTACCCCAATATTTTTTTTCTGCTGACCTTGGGAATGCCAACTGCCTAAGCTGTTTGATTGAGCACGGACGCACTCAAATACTAGCACAGCTGTGAAGCTGACAACAAATACATGTGCCTATCTTTAACAACAAGCTCCCCTTCCTTCTCACTAGTACGGTCCGTGCCAAAAGTATTCGCGTCCAAAGAAGAATATACGCTACAACCACTTTTCATGACCCTGTTTGAGTGTGGGAACTGTGTAAAAGGGACGATAACTCCTGAGAACATGACAAGAGATGACTCCACTGATAGAAAGATTGTCGGTCGCATTGACTCAGATGGGGGACCTGCTACGGCTTGTCGATGTGTCTAGAGCAACTTTACAGCGTGCTCACTCAACCGCGCACGAAGTTTGCAGTTCACTAAGATTTTAAAGCGACATATCTTCGCTACCTACACTTCGTCTCAGAAGTGACGTGCACAGCTCCTGGACATGGTCATGCATACACTAGTGTTTCGCAATATAACTAGAGGGTTCGCTGGTGTTGCGATCGTTAAGCCGTTTTGGCAATTATGGGTAGTACTTGAATTTGCCTAGTCTTCGTGCTTGCAGACTTCGATCATGCTTGTGGCTTTGTTTATTGCTGTATTTTCGTTTTGTTCAAAATGAGAAAACGAATAGCTGTAAACTTTCTGGCCAGATTTTAATTGGCAAACTTAAAAGTCCAAGTTGGTGAAGTGGAAATCCTCAAGAATTGCTGTTTTGTCATTTTGTGACAAAGCAGCTCCAAGCCATGCGAAGCCAAGCAGAGCTGAAATAACGAAGATTAGACACATTTGTGTACTATTCATTATTCCCATGCTTGCTGAAACCCCAGTGAGCTCCCATAGACACTAGCGCCACAGTTCCCTCTGGTGTATTTATAGGAAACTTTGTTGTACATTTGCCCAGTGACGTTTTCGATGATTTGGCTTGGCTGGTGTATCAAGAGAGTAACCACATCAGAAGAAGCCACCCATGACACAAGCGCAGGCAACCTTAGCCGTTGGCACACACAATCATGTACAAATATAAGGTGCATAATGCCACCTACATTTATTATAACAGCTTGTTATATTCAAAAAATAGCTCAGGAGCTTAAAATAAACGTTGTCAAGCATAGTTACAAGAAATCCTGCGAAAGCGGAAGAACGACAGCTTTTAAAAATTACGAGAAGGACTGCTAGCAGCGTTATCAACTCTCAGCGTTGCTGGAAAAAAGTACATCTTTGTTTAGAGCCTGTCTGATAGAAAAATGCTGCTTGTAAAATACCTGCATGCTTTTTGGATTAACTACTGCAGCTACAAACACTGCAAAAGTTAAGGACGAAAAAGTGACGGTGCGCGTACGCGGCCGCGCAACTTGTTGCGGGTGACCAGTGCGATGGGAGATGCGTGCCGGAGGAAGAATGTATGGTGGCCTGCCGAGCGAGCTGTAAAAAAACTTGTGAAAAAGGGAAAGACTAAAATGCGGCGACGAGATGCAAGCAATGATAGGCCAGATTCCTGTTTTCAGTGCTGATATGCTGACGTCGTAAGAGTACGTAGAATGAATAAATCGTGTGGCTCGATTTTGAAGTGACTCGAGTTGATTGATGAGATATGCTTGATGCGGGCTCCAAATGGCTGATGCGTATTCTATCTTCGTCCTTACGAGAGATTGATAAGCTACTAATTTGACATTATTAGGAGCATGACGCAAATGGCGTTTTAAGAACCCGAGTGTTTTGTTAGCAGATGCAATGATGTTCGTAATGTGCATTGCCCAGGTTAAATCGCTACAAAGGGTTACTCTGAAATATTAATAGGAAGGAACTAATTCGAGGTTTGTGTCAGCAATTTGGTACGGGAATACTATCAGGATACTACGCGTGTCATGATTATCATATCTGGACGTGTCATATGCCTTCGTCGTTCTTTCACGCCACGTGATACCCGATTTAGTATAAGTGGGGCTACCGAAACGGCGGCGAGTGCATCATGAGCGTGGTGTGGTCTCCTGTTCTTACATGACACGCGTGTCATGACTACGATGTTTGCACTAGTCCTATGCCATCGTGGTCCATTAACGTCACGTAACACCCAAATTAGTATATGTGAACTAGCGAAACAACCACGAGCGCATTATGAGCGTAGTATATAGTCATGTGCTACTTGACACGCTTGTCTTATTTATCATGTTCGGACGTATCATTTACCATCGTCGACCATTCGCGCAATGCAACACTAGATTTGGTACATGTGGAGCTAGCGAAATGGCCGCGAGCGCATCACGAGTGCGCCATGTAGTAATGTTGTTAAATTACATGCATGCCATGACTTTCATGTTAAGGTCAGTCGCTTGTGTTCCCCATGCAGTCATGTCATACCAAACCAGTTTTGCAACATGTCATGTGAATAAAACCACCAAAATAGCAGCAAGAACTTGAATTCAGGTCATGAGAATCATGACATACATGTCACGATTTTAATGTTATGTAATGTCAATTATGCGCGTCATGCAGTCACGTTATTCTTACCAATTTTGGTATCAATACCATTATTGAAACGGCCAGGAGAGCTAAATGTCGTAGGTGGCTAGATAGATAGATAGATAGATAGATAGATAGATAGATAGATAGATAGATAGATAGATAGATAGATAGATAGATAGATAGATAGATAGATAGGTAGGTAGATAGGTGGATAGATAGATAGATAGATAGATAGAAAGATAGATAGATAGATAGATAGATAGATAGATAGATAGATAGATAGATAGATAGATAGATAGATAGATAGATAGATAGATAGATAGATAGATAGATGGATAGATAGATAGATAGATAGATAGATAGATAGATAGATAGATAGATAGATAGATAGATAGATAGATAGATAGATAGATAGATAGATAGATAGATAGATAGATGCGCTCAAGGTCGTCGATGTTCGGTAAGAAATGCCTCGCATTTCATAACGGTTCA